CGTTGGCCATCAAGAAGCTCTTGATCGCGCTTTGCCACTGGGCTTCGAAAGAGTCGACATCTTGGCCGTCGCGAGGCTGTGAAGTGTCAGTTTGTAGTCAAGCACGCGGCAGGTTTCGGGTACGTACGTCGCTCGAAAGTGCAGCGATTCCAAAAACAAGGTTGAGTTGGGCAATGGACTTTTTGTCGGTCATAGTGTCTGGGCTGGCAACATATTGCTCGTATAGACCTAAGAAGGTTGGACGATGCAGGACTGGGAACAGCGGTGCCCACTCCTGGAAGAATATGTTGACCATCTGGTCTGAGACTAGACGAGGAGGAGCCTTGAACGATACTGGACGTTTTGATTGAGTGGCAGCTGGCTTTGCACCTGCGCCGAAGAAGACACTCGAGTCAACGTCAGTTGAGAGTCTGCCTGCTTCTTGTGCTTTTTGCTTGAAGGCCTCTGCGAAATGTCAGACATGGGTGCTGCTGGAGAGGGAGCAAAGATCGTACCAACAAGTGTTCGTCCAGCCGAACTGCCTACAAAGTAAGAATCATGATTTATATCGTCGAGGAGATGTGGTGCCTGCTGCACCTTGAATGTGTCGTCCTTCTCTTGTGACTCTTCACGGCCGTCCGATATTGCCGGAGATTGTGGCGATGCTCGTCTTGCAGGTGCTTGCGATGCTGGAGAATGCGAGTGAATCCGCGATAGCATGTCAATCTTTTCGTCCTTTTCGTCCAGCAGGTCTTTGAGTTCCCGAACTTCGCTTTCCAAAGCACGGACGCGCTCTTCTAAAGACTCCGTGTATCCTCTTGGGAAAGCACGACGACTGAGCTTGTCACTCGTCTTGCACTCGAATCCAACATTTGTACACTGGGTGCAACTGGGGCGGATACCATCGCATCGTATCTTCTTGGAGCGACAACGATCGCAGGCTTGGGCGATGCGGCTCTGGCAGCTCGAGCCGACTTTGATGACCTTCATGGGCAATATTCCGGGCATGGTGGCGATATTTTCGTGTCCACGCGTCGTGAATGGTGTGGAAGTGCTGCTTGTCGTAGGCCCAACGGGCAGTCGCTAGTAGGTAGTGTTGGGTCCTGTCATGCGATGGTCCGGCGTTCCTGAGTTTGCGAAAAGCGTGTAGTCGGCAGAGTTCGACTGTGGTTGGCGTCGAGAGACGTGTGCTGGTGTCGCAGTGTAGATACAGCCGGTTAAAGTCGAGGTGAGCGTGTGCCCAGATTGAACGAGGGGGTTAAAGGTGAGCGGAAGAATCGGAGCGGCCTGGCAAATGTACATAAAGCTGCCACCTGCCACCCTGGTCTAGTCAGATCCTGGGGAATTTGTGGGTGGCTGCGGGGGCGGAAAGGCGCCATCCCAATCCCATCAGGCCACAGACGAGCAGCAGGCGTCGTTGCCGATACATTTTCGCTCATCACTAGCCACCAAACCTTAATCATGACTGGCTGCGATCAGCATGCGGGGCTGACTGCTGCTTGACGGCCGTTCTCGGCGTCCCTCATCGCGTGTGATGATCGGCCCTTTGATCCTCCACGGAGTGTTGGCCTTGACGAAACAACATGAAAGACGTCAGCCACAGTGCGCATGTTGGGCCTTATTCCCCTCGTCTGCCTTGTGACACGCTAGACCGGCGTAGAACTGTCGTTATTGGAGTCGACCCACGAGTCATCTTCATGGAGGGTATAGCACCAGAGGCCTTTTCGCTAAGAAACCACGCCTCATTTGCTGCTCGTATTCATATACACTACTCTATGTTCTCTCGATATCTACTCCATGTGCGTGCCACCCTTGCTACGGGCTTTTTGAATTTACCCAAGCAAACAAGCGCAATCCTGGGCTACCCTGATATTGTTCTAGAAGAATGCTGCTTAGTACACAAGGTGACAAGCAGTTGATCCCACTCAAGCCATGAGGATCGCCCTTAGCTTTGCAGAAAAGACATCTTGCATACCGTTCATTGGTATTGGGTAGCTGATCTCTGTTGAACGTACGACGTGGCGTGATCGTATTGTCTGCAGTCTACATACGACACTACAACTCATCACGACTGCTAAGCTATACTCTAATATTGAATACCTGTGTGCCGGCCATAGGAGAAAGCATATTATCAGATAAGTGAGCGATGCGATATACATGGCAGAAAAATCACTGCTTCGTTGCATCTTTTGTGGTGAATGCGCTTGCTTCCGGATGATCCGTCACTGATATCGCCGTGCCTATGAGAAAGCAAGTAGGATTGGATTGATCCATGCTTGTTCAGGAAAAATCAACTTCTTCCTCCTGTTCATCCATACCCAGATAGTGTATGACAGTGGGTGAATCTAACAATTTTGCTCTCTGTAGTAGTCAGCGTCAGTGTCTGTTCCTTGTTGCACGTGGCAGCTGCAGGGACGCATTCTGCACGTGTGGTCGATCAGGCGCACGTTGCCGACTTGCACCAACATGCACTTGGCAACCCAGGCGGTGAGGATTGTATCCTCTTACCGATGAACAATAAAATATGTAACCATCTTGAAACGAAGGACGTGGGGCGCGAGAAGAAGAGATGGTACTCACCTGTTTGTCAAAGACGGATGCGGCACGTTGGAGCATGTCCAGCTCTAAGCTTCGGAGCCGCTCTGCTAGTTTCCATGGTAATTCACGAATAGTGTCCTCGCGCTTGATGTCTTCAGCGCCCCTGAGCGCCTCGATCTGCGTATCAATGCGGGCTTGCAGGAGGACTGTCGCACGCAGCTGGAAGACGTCCCAAGTTGCGTCCTCTTCAAGATGTTTACGTAGCTTGGAGGTATCCAGCTCACTCTCTCTCCAAAAACCCTGGATGCTTTTCTTGCCATCAGTGGTTTGTCTGACCTTGAAGTCTAATCCATCTTCCTCGTTGACTACAACAAGCCATATGAAGTCGCCTTCCCAATGTATCTCGCCGTCTTTTTCGAAGATGCGAAATCCTGGCGCTTCTGTTGAGACATACATTTTTGCAGGTCTGAGAGGATCATCGTCTGGAATGTCGAGATCCAGGAACATGACTTTTGCAGAGGCCATACCATCTTCGAGAAATCCATATGAGAAGATGTTTTCGCACGCGCCTTTGTCGTCACCGTAGCTACGTTTGTCAGCGCATTGTTTTTGTCCGTTTTTGGCGACATACGTGATTGTTACTTCGCCCCCTTGTTCAATATTTTGGCCCTCTCGAAGTAGGAGCAAGCCATTCCCGTTGCTATCTGTTTCATATAAGGCGGCTGTGGCATTACCCGATGCGTGATTGGCCATGTCGACGCATGGCATCATGCAATCGCCAGCACCTGGGAATTCCAAGGCTCTGGACCTGTACATTGCATCGATTCGCATCCAATCATCAAAGGTGAGCATGCCGTCTTCTTCGTCCCACCAAAACTTATTGCACCATGGGATGGACTCTGTAGCGGTTCGCAGGTTCTCAAACTCGCGCAGTAGACTATTGAGCTTTGCGCTGACGGCAGGCTTGAGCGTAGTTCCGACGAGAAGCTCTCGCTCCTCCTCTGTCCAAAAAGTGGGAAGAAGCTCATCCGGGAGAAACTTGATATACTGTGTTAGAGGATTCAGCAGACCCACATCCTTTGTGTCTGGGCAACAGATGGTAGCTTGGAGGAGCAGGAATGAGAGGACAGCGCCTCTTGTTGTCTGCAGAGTGTTACTATTATGGGTACTCTGTGGGTTGCCAGAGTCTATCACGCACCCTTCCGAAGTCTCCAAGGGCTTCGAGAAGATCATGTAGACGATGATCCGACTTTGCAAGGAGATCTATATTTTGACGAGAGATGATCAATTCTTTGGGCACTACGATGAGAGGGTCGACATTGCCTCCCTGGAGGTTCTGGTCGGCGATGACGGTTGAACCTCTGTCCTCATGGCCAGGCAGGGGACCAATTTTGACCTTGTTGAAGGTGACGCCGTGAAAAGCGGCCCAGGTAGGCAATGCATCAATGGGCTGTTTGAGCCATCCCTCGGTTCTGCCTCTGCGTATCATTTCCACAGGGCGATTTTGGAGATGGGTGAATGTTGTTGTGATGAGGCGTGGGGGGAGTTTAGTTGCGGTCGTCAGGTGATGTTATGTTTTACAAGGTGCATGTTTGGCGATGGCCAATAAGCGTCTTATCGATACCGTTGGAGACATGTACGTATTGTATACACATGTCTACCCACACCACACCACACAACACAACACCAGTTCCCCTGCAGGATAGCTGCAGGCACGGCAATCAGGGTGAAGCCACAGGGGCGGACCTGCGTGCTTGTGTGACGGGTGTCAGCATTACCATGGCAGCCGGGTGGCAGCAATGGCGGCATGATGGAGATGCAGATGCAGAAGCACATGGGCGGTGGCACTGGACCCTGTGAGGTCATGTACTAGGAGGAACGACGGCTGCAGGGAGAAGGCCGACAGCGTTGGTTTCCTTAGAGACGAGAGCAGTCCAGGCCGGGTAGAGAGGGGCTACAAGTGGCCAACTCAGCGGTGCATGTTGCAGGAGCATAACAACGGGCAGTGCGGCGGATGCGCAGTAGGGGAGGACGGCCGCTCGTGCCTTGTTGTCATGGCGCTCGGGCCCCCTCGTCCAGAGTTGTTGTGATGCTGTTGGCGGGTGTGCCGAAACCATGGAGCGGAGCTAGTGCCGCCGTCCGTGCGCCTGTAAACAACAACAACACCGACATGTGCTTAAACTTGCAACCACTCCCGCACCACGGCCATCTCTACCATTATTCCTTAACCCAGACCGCAGCAGGAACAGCAGACGGCCTTCTCGCCATCTCGCCGCCAGCCTCTCCTTCACCACCACCTCTCCGCCCGCCTCCGCTGCGCCGCGCCGCCGAGTCTGCTGCTCTCATCCCAAGTCGGCCTCTCGTGACGCTCCCATATCTTCGTGCGCCGTAGCCCATCGCCACTTCCTCCCGCTGTAACAGGCAAGCACTTTGAGAGTCGCCCCCTCCTGTTCATGTCTTCGCACCGCGAGCGGACTTCCAAAATGCCTCGCGCGTCCACGACCAGCTACGGCCAGGTCATTGAGGTGAGCACCAAAACAACCACCAAAACAATGCGCCATTGGTCTAAATACTGATCCTGCGCCCCTTAGTACATCCAAGACCGTCTCTACCTGGCCTCGTACACGTATGCTCCGGATGCGTCTACCCCGTTCCCTTACCCCAAGCAGTCGCAGTCGCCTTCCAAGCGCTCGTCGCGCGCCCATGGCGGCCCTACAGCTCCAGCACACAAGGTGCTCCCGCCCGTCTACTTTAGCATTGACAAGACACTCTTGTACAATGCTTTCCATGGTGACTTTGGCCCACTTCACATTGGTCACCTGTACCGCTTCGCCGTTCAGCTGCACGAGGTACTAGGCGACCCCGCCAATGAGGATCGCGCAGTCGTCTTCTGGAGCAACGCCGACTCGAGGAGTAAGAACACTCCATCTCTGCCGCTTTTGCGCACCAATTAACGTGCCTAGGTCGCGCAAACGCTGCTTGTATCCTGGCATGCTACATGGTGCTTATCCAGTCATGGCCTCCTCACCTGGCCCTCGCACCCATCGCACAAATGGATCCTCCCTGCATGCCCTTCCGCGACGCCGGCTACAGCCAGGCTGACTATGTGCTCAACATCCAGGATGTCATCTACGGTGTCTGGAAAGCCAAGGAAGAAGGCCTCTGCGGACTCAAGGACTTTAGTCTGGAGGAGTACGTGCGCCCTTTTTGCTTTTTCTCTCAGCTGCTGACTTTGACAGATACGAAAAGTACGAGCGTGTAGATATGGGAGATTTCAACTGGATCACCCCCGACTTCCTTGCCTTTGCCTCGCCACAACAAAAGCCCACACACGAGATCCCCGCTTCCTCGCCCATGTATGCGACGCTTCCTTCCAACATTGCCGAGGTTCAAAGATCCGACCTTCCTAGCCCTTTCAAGAACGTACTCTCACATTTCTACGCGCGCAACGTCGGCCTCGTCGTTCGATTAAACTCGGAGCTGTACTCGTCCTCATACTTCACCAAGCTGGGCATTCAGCACCTGAACATGATCTTCGACGATGGAACATGCCCGCCTCTATCCCTTGTTCGCAAGTTTGTCAACCTTGCACACGAGATGATCACTGTACAAAAGCGAGGCATCGCCGTCCACTGCAAGGCTGGTCTTGGACGAACTGGCTGCCTCATTGGAGCATACCTCATCTACAAGCACGGCTTCACTGCCAACGAGATCATCGCCTACATGCGATTCATGCGCCCAGGAATGGTCGTGGGCCCTCAACAGCACTGGCTGCACCTGAACCAGGGCACTTTCCGCGAGTGGTGGTACGAGGACACCATGAAGGCCAAGTATGCTCAGATGGTACCTTCCACACCCACAAAGTCATCGCACAAGCAACGCCTTGCTAGCAACGGACAAACCTTCACTCCCCCCAACGGATCGCAGAAGCGCGCAGCTCTGGGCGAGATTGAGTCGAACGAGCGAAGCAATTCAGGACACATTGGTGTGTTAGACGACAACCTGCCTGCGCCGACACCTGGCCAGCCGCGAAAGACTAGCAAGCTTTACGGCAACGGATCGCGACAGTCACCCCAGCGCATTGACGAGAACGAGCCATTCACAAAGTCGCACACAGAGGTCAGGGCGGAGATTACACGCTTCGACGGCGAGTCAGACGAGGAGTTCCACCTTCGCCAGATTGCCCGACGAACATCGTCGCGTTCGCCCCAGCGCTCGCCCACCCTTAAGGATAAACAACGCCGTGCTTTCAGCACCACGTCTGTCATCCAGACTTCGGTAACACACACATCTTTTGGCTACGGCGAAGAGAGCGATCTCGAGAACACCGCACCAACCGGCGCGCGGCCAAAGACACCAAAGGAGAAGAGCGGCAATGGCAGCATCAGCATGACCAAGGTGCGATCAAGTCCTTCGCGGCGAAGCACCGACGGAAAGGCTGGTGTACGAAAAACCAGCGGCCGTGTTGGCAGCGTCGGCAACGCCATCTCACGAACCAAAGCATGATGAACGTTTCCGGATTTTCCACTTCTTAGTCTCCATCTCCATCGCAACGGAGTTCTAGCATGGCGCCACGGGACACTACATTTATTACGATTGTGCTCGCTTCGTTTCTCTCCTGTCCAAGTCAAGTTCTCGACCATCCAGCATACCTGCCTGGCTTTTGGCGCTGCAAATGTCTTTTTACATATTATGGGGGTCCGGCGTTTTTGGGAATTGCCAATGTTAGCATATTGGCCTTTTGGGATATCTCTGCTTGATACTTAGTCGAGGGCCGGCGCATGGAGTGCGTCGATTTGTTCTCTTCTTGTTATTCTTTTCCAACTTTTCCACTTTTTTTCTACTGTCTCGTCACCAATGGTGGGGGGTGGAGTTTGTGCGCCTGGCTTTACTAGTAGTCTTGTCCCTTTTCGCGCTTCATTTAGCTGCGGATATGTTCATGACGTGTATGAGTTTCATGATGAGCGTAATTCCAGACTTCTTTTTCCAAGAAAACACATGTTGATTTCTGAGTGTGATGTGATTGTTAAGTGATGTGAAGTGTATTTCATATCCCAGCCAAGTCTTCTCGTAATGTTCAGCAGTAGCGCACGTGACATGTCTATATCCACTTCCCAAAAAAATATGCTCCACCACCTCCACCCATCTCTTTCAAGTTACAATCAAGAACACACAATTTAACCGTCTCATGTCCGATCAGCACGGGACTCGAACCCGCAACCTTGGCCTTTTTTTACTTTGCTTTGCTTTGCTCTACTATATGTAGATCACTTGCATAGTAGGAGGGCCACGCGCTACCATTGCGCCAACCGACCCTGATTTTGTTCATGAAGCTATCTTGTGTGGTGTGTTGTACATGTATCCATGTTGCACCTGGTGTTTCTGCTGAACGTGAGTTTGGAAAGCCATGAATATAATCTGTTTTTTTCTTCTCAGGGTGGTTCAAAGTGGATATTTGTGTGTGTGTGTGTGTGTGGGGGGGGGGGGGGGGGGGTGGATATTCTTACTAGTACAAAAAGAAAATCCAAGGTTTAGTATAGTTTAGGTTCCGAGTTGCAATGTAGGGAGTATAACGTATCATATTATGATTATTTTTTCTTCTTAGAATAGCATAGCAGATCGCATCTCAACCTGCTGGAATTGGGGTTGAGGGGAAAGAATGTGTGGTAAGAGGGAAGACGAATGAGCAGCCTACGTATATAAAGCCCTTAAAGCTTCGGCTCTAAGATTTACGCAAGTGAGAATCTGCTTTGGAACCATGGAAAATCGTTTAGTAATACTATTGATGATATGTGTATCTTTCGGTGGGTATATAGCTATTAGACGCGCCTATATTAGAGTGGTGTAACGTGGATATACCTCTGTTGGACTTGAATCTCTTGTTTCATATTGGTTGGGAAGGGGATGCAATGGTAAGTATTGTGTGGGTAGGGATGCATTCTCTGACTAGTTAGTTAAGAGAGAATGTAAAGTCTTCTTTTTGGTATTCAGTTCCGTTAGGTTGGGGTGTGGCCTGCTATTTACTATGCGCACGTGATTGTGGCTTCATAGGCCAGAGGGGTACCCAATGGATCCCCGAAGGTTGGCCCCCGCCTGGGTCTCCGGTTCAGAGTATCATGGCCGATACGCCATATGTCAACCAGATGCAAATAATTAAGGTCATGTATTTTATATACCGCGCTTTTTCTAGTGAGCTGGCGCTGCAGCACTGATTAAGATTCTACTAACGGTGCAGGCTGGTTATTTAGTTGTGGCATGCAACCTGAATGGCTTGCTGCCACACAATTTAGTGCAAGCCAGCAGGCTCAATGCAGGTGAGGGTGGTGCGTATCGCTACGACAACCAACCCCCGTGACGTTCAGCTTCTTTTCAGCTTCGCATCTTAGCCTGGTTGCCTCGCTGCGTCGACCTCTCTCGGTCTGGCTCTCCTCTCCTCTCGTTTACCAATTACTGTTACCCCCAACCCCCTATCTGGCAATGTCAATGTTACAAGTCGTTCTTGATTTAGCAATAGTGAGACGTATTGTGGGATGAGCGCGTGGCGAGGCTAACGCAGGGCTAGGATCAGCTGTTCACTTGCAAAGACGAGGGCCTGAAGGTGCTCCGCGAAGCACCAAAAGAAGTGCAGAACATTGAGTACGCTTGCTTAAGTACAATTTCCGTTTACCTACAACTCACAGGCCGGCTAGTATTGTTGCAATCCATGGTCTCGGCGCCCATCCCGACGAGAGCTGGTGTAAGAACGTTGGTACGGCAGAAGAGCCGCAATGGCGCAACTGGCTCATCGAGGATGATATGCTACCAGCGGTAGCGCCAAACGCGCGCATTATGCGGTATGGGTATGCATCGCTGTGGTTCGGCCATATAGAAATGCGACACGGCATGGCTCTCATGGCCGGGCGGTTTCTAAGAGTGTTGAATCAACAAAGAAAGGTGCAGGCACGTGCTTAGTGGGCGTCGTGTATCCGCTGACTTTGTCAGCGTGCTCCGTTCCGTCCGCTGGTGTTTGTGACGTACGGCTTTGGCGGGCTGATTGTGCTTGAGGTAAGAGGACTGATAGACGTACTAGAAACGATGCAGCCATTACTAAATGTTTCCATAGGCACTGCTAGAAGCCGAACAGCACCCTGAAAAATGGCCTGGAATATTCTCGTCAAATACTGGTCTGGTCCTCTTCGGCACGCCGTTTCGAGGCGCCCAGAGGATGAAGCAGATGGAGATCCTCGAGGCAGCGTGGTTTGAGTATCACGGCTACCAGATACCGCAGTCAGGCATTGCCTATCTACAGGAACTAGTAGACACCTTTTCAAAAAAGAGGCAGGGCCAGACAAACAAGACTCAGCTCGCTTGGTTCTATGAGTCTAAGCCGAGAAACGTGGGGAAGGTTGAATCCGAGCAGGATCCGACTGTAAGGTTGATAGACACCGCACACAGTGACCATGTTAAAAACAAGTGTAGGGATTTATGATCGACAGGTACATCGGGCGCCTAGTCCCGTCTGAGTCTATAAACATCTTCGAGAACGTGCACGAGCAAGGCTTTGAGACATTCGCAGATGTGTTTCGGAAAATCTTGAAGGCATCCCCTCAGCTCTCATGGCCGCAATCTCAAGGTAACTATAATGGTAGCCCCTACTAGATTAAACAAGATGGGTTAAGGATACTAGGTGTGAGCGAGCACAAGATCGACTTTAGTCTCAAAGGCGTACCTGTATTACACCAGTTTGTCGCCCGAGATGCAGAGATGCAAGTGCTTGAGGAGGCTCTTATCGGTATTCCTCTCACCACGAGTCATCGGAAAGTAGTGGTCGTCCATGGGCTTAGCGGCGTTGGTAAGACGCAGCTAGTAGTGGAGTTTGCGCGAAAGCACCATCACCAGTTCAGCGCAGTATTCTGGCTAGACGGATCATCTAAGACCAGCCTTGAGCATTCGTTTGTTGATATGGTGCAGAGACTTCCGCCCACCGAGCTGACAGCTAATGGTGCGCAGATACTCAGCCAGGCCGCTGTCGAGGCTGTCGAGGCTGACGTGGCGGTGCGTGAGTGCTTGCAATGGTTGTCCATGTCGTTAAACTCTCACTGGCTGCTGATCATAGATAACGTTGACAGCGACTATCATAATCACAACCAGGACGACCTGCCGGCATATGACGTGGAGTACTACTTCCCACACGCAGATCACGGGTCAATCTTGATTACGAGCCGACTGGCTAGCCTTCAACAGCTTGGGTCTGGCGTCCAAGTGGGAGCAGTGACAGAAGAGCAAGGCCGTGCTATACTCGAGATCAATGCTAGGAGAGCGGTGGAATGTACGAGAAAGACTCTATCTGCTGAAAGGAGACATCGTAACTAATATGTTTTGTACAGATGCCGACGTAGTCATTGAACTTCTCGGTGGGCTCCCACTAGCCCTCACGCAAGCTGGGTCGTACACACGCGAGACGAATGTGACGACGGACATATATACGATGCATTACATCTTTACGTTGCCTCGTCTGATGGAGAATAACAGTCGCTTCGGGCTTAGTGAGTACAATTATCATGCCGTGGGGACTAACTGGACTATGTCATACGAGCAAGTGCAGAGACAGAGCGACGGGGCAGGCTGTCTACTAAAGCTGTTAGGGTTTTTAGACAGCGGAGAGGTATGGTACGAGCTAATATCAGCGTGCAAGGATCTAGCTGTAGAGATGGATGTTCCAACCTCGCTACTAGAGGTTATTCAGGACGAGCTAGCATTTCATGATGCAATGAGGCTGTTATCACGCTACTCGCTTGTAGATGACAAACAAGACACAGAAACCTACTCGATCCACGAGATGCTGCATCGATGGTGTAGTTCCCAGGTAAAAGGCAAGGAGCAGCAGGTGCTGGGCTGCTTAGCAGTAGCTCTGGTGGCATCACTTGTGCCTGTGAAGCTGGACGTAGAGTCCTGGAGGAAGCGGAAGCGGATTATGGTGCATGGGCTCCGTGTTAGTAGATGGATGATGGACAATGGTGAGTTAGGTGGAAAGCAGGCTGTCGAGGTCTCGATACGACCCGAATTATTTGATAGGCTTGGGAATCTTCTTGCAGATGAGGACTTGCAGAGTGCGGTACAGATGTACCAGCGAGCGCTAATTGGATACGAGCTGGTACTCGGGGCAGACCACATATCGACACTTGACACAGTTAAAAATTTAGGCATTCTCTACGTAAAAGAAGGCAAGATCGACCTAGCTATACACATGTACTATCGAACGCTGGCTGCATACGAGCGGGCACTCGGGCTAGACCACGCATTGACACTCCAGATGGTCAGCAGCTTGGGCATTCTCTACGCCAAGCAAGGAGAGTTCGAGCAAGCTGAGCGCATGTACCAGCGAGCTTTGAAAGGAAAAAAGACTGGAAATAGCTCAAGCAATACTCCCACGACTATGGCATTTCGCACCAAAAAGGAGGAAATCGACCTTCGTTCTCCACTCGATGCGAACGCTCAAACCCTCGTCTCACCTGTGGAAAACCAAGATCAGCAACTCAGCGAAAGGAACGACGATGGGGTACATAGCCAGGCAATTGCCGAGATCGGCTGCAATTGTCTTCCTGCTACAGAAGTTGTGGACAAGCCCACAGTACGACATGTATTGGCGGAAACAGCAGAAAAACTACCTTCTCGTTGGGAAGAAATTCAAGATCAGCTTCCCGATTCTTACAAATGGGACATCGAATTCATCACCAATCATCTTGGAGGTGCCGCCGAAAATGGTTGTTGGTCATGCACACCTTTGCTGGATGGCGAGCCAAAACAAATCCCTCTCACGATTGCTCACGCTCCTGTCGTAATACCGGTAGAACATAGATGGCCACCCGTTGGTGGGGTAAAACCCCCACCAGATCCTAGAACATCGTCACTTATAAATCCTTGGGCCGAATTACCGATGGATGTCGTACGGGATCTGTTTCTTACATTCAAAGGCGCCCTGGGTTTCTACGCTCTCATCAGCGGTCTGTTGCAGGTCATCGTCCCTGATACTTTCGAAACTGAATGGGCATCTTCTCACTTACCTCACAGCTTTGGTGGACTGAAGGTATGCTACATCATGAACACTATGGAGCCGACTATGCTTCAGTCCAATGTAACAGTCGCTCATCAGACATCTGCAACATCACAAACGCCAAACGTCCCATTCGCGCACCCATCTAGGCAGACTCGATCAGCTCAGTCCTTGCAGATCAATGACTTGATTGAAGCACGCGTATCGTCTATATCACGAGCGAAGTTCGAAGGGAGAATTGGCTTAAAGGTAGCAAAGAGTGGTGAACTCAATCAACCTTACTTGGTCATGTCGACGCACGTCATCACAGAAGCAATCTTGAGCAAAACATTCATCGGTCTAACCCGCAATCGGATAAAACGACTCCAAGATGACTGGAATGAGCATGCTGAGATTTGGGCAGGGGGTTTGAAAGTAAGCGCTAACATGGAAATCTCTACCGGGTATTTGCAAAAGCACGACTGACACAGAAGCAGATTGGTACCATCGAGAAGAGCTTCGACCAAGCTGCAGAACACTACCCCTCCGGTTTCAACCACGACATCACTCTGATAAAGCCAAACAAAGGCAGAGAGGCGCTGATCGCAAACATTCAGACTCCAATTGATGATCTTGGCTGGCTGAGTCAAGATGCCTGGTCATCACTGCGCCAGCATTCTGCGGCCATCAAAATTCTTGGGCCAACAGGACCCGACAAGCAGGCAAAATGCATCAAATGCCATACCAACTCCGAGGCCACCGTAGTGGGTGAAGGTGTGTTTCTCAATCAAACTGCTGCTGCTGGTAGCAAGGCTTTGGAGAGCCACGATGAGTCGTTTTGGAGAAAATTTGTATCGCGAGCGGTACTCTACCGTGTAAGTCCGGACTTTGACACACCCAATGGCTACAGCGGAGTAGCATTGTGGGCAGATGGCAAGAGGGAAGATGGAAGCCAAGGACCTGGCATAGTAGGCTTCCAGAGTTTTGTACAGAGGAGCGGGCACACGCAAAATTTCAATTTGCCAGAGGGTGCGCACTTGGAGGAGAGATTGAGGAAAGGGTTCGTAGCATTTTATGGTGCTTTTCAAGTGCCGGACGAGCTTCGACAGGAGTACAGAATCTTGTAACTCGGCAATTTCTTTTCGACACGTGGCACAATGAGGCAAGCCTTTTCATTCAGTTATGATTGCTACTTGAAGGAGCCTACAACCTGCGCAATACTAAGAAAGACCTGCATGACGGTCAAAAAGAGGATCAAGGTACCAAATCTAAGCCAGTTAGCCTGCATCGCTTGATATACAATACGCAAACGTACAGAAACGTCCAGAACTGCAGTGTGTCCCTGCGATCGCGAAATAGCACCCATAGACTCCAAGGTCTTGACGACTGAAGGTGTTTTTCGAGTCGAGCAATGCGCGGCCAGAGGGACGGAAAGCTCTCTGGCGTCCAATCACTCATTGAGTATTTCATCATCAAGTTTTCTAGAACCGGGTCGAAATCGCTGTGGATTGGATTCGCTGCGTTATTGATCCTGCGCAGTGAAGTCGCCGGACCACGTGAGCGACAGGCGCGGATGCATTGCTTACGGTAGCGGTAGGCGCAGCACGACCGGCACCAGCACACTCTGCGGATCCCAATGAATGCTCCTAATTTCACATGTAATGGCTTCATGTACCATGAGTTGAATAGCATAGCATATGAATCTTCAATCTCTTGTTTGAGCTCCCACGATATGCCTACAGCGGGAGATGTGATGGAATCGAAAGCACATGGCAACGAGAACAGTTCCAGAACGTGGCGTCCGCCTACATTGGTAAGAAGTAAGTGGCGTGATACATTGGGTGTCCATTGAACATCCACTCCACTGAGCACATTTAGAGTGAAAGCGTTGAGACGTTTCGCACTAATGGACAGTGACTCTTGAACACCAAGATCATCTAACATAGCATAGGACGACATTGCTAAACATAGTGTCAACAAATTTCATTAGGTTGCAGTCCTAGCTTTTCAAAACGACGTACCATGTGGCAAAGCTTGCCCGGGTGTAGTTGCAAACAAATGCTGTAAAGAGTTTTGATTTTGAATATTTGAGGTGTTCAGCATCAGCGATACGAATTTTGTGGTTGCATCTCCCACCACGTCTACTCTTTGATCCCATTTCCCACCAGGTAGAAGACCACTATGTGCAATGAGGTCAGACAGAGAATGACTGTAGGGTGCTGGAGTTGCAGATGGCGTTACGGGTACGGTCCCTGTTGTCCCTGTTGTCCCTGTCGCCCCTGCCGTTGTCCCTGGTTTCATCATGAGTGCTGCATTGTGTGTTCGCGTCTCTTCTGCAAATATACAGTATGCTGCCACAACCTTACGACACTGGCGCTTGTTTTGAAAGGAGCTGAGCATTGTAGCCCATGTTCCAAGTATACACATGACCGCATCCTCAACAAGCTCCTTGCCATCTCCGACAGCAGTGTTCGCGAAAAATCCGCGGAAGCCTGTCAAGAAAAGCTCGTCTATGATCGACTGCACTGTAGCAACCGTCATAGTACCATTTGCGGTGGTCTGGAAGTGCTTGACGATCTTAACGAACAGCTCGACATAGTCTTCTTCCCCCTCACTACCAGCATGCTGCTTCAAGATGTAGCTCAGATACGGTTCGGCTGTCTTGTCCTCTGGGTAATCGGTGAATCCTAGCGCATGGGCCAATTTAGTTAGATTGGTTGATGCTCTGTTAGTAGAGGGAGGCATGGTAAATCTTGATCGATGTAGCAGTAGGTAGAGTTCCAATTGTCCCTTTCTGCGCAGAAATGGGCGCATCAAGAGCTATTGCATGTGTGGGGGCCAAAGCTGCATGGCTCAGCCTCCTCATCAGCCTGAGCTGAAGCCTGCAGCTCGAGGATACCGCTGAGCCTATCGAGAGTGTCACTAAGATATGGTGGCTGAACGCGTCAGCTAGTGCCATCTTGCATAAGTTATCGTAGAAAATTGAGAGGTAGAAAAGCTGTAGGGAGTTATAAGTCTTCATCTCAGGTTGAAGGGTGGGCTCCCGCAGAACAGAAATAGCTGGACACCTCACGCAAACGAAAGGGCTAGTTTCATGGTATTCTACCGCTTGTAGAGTTGGTCTGGTGGTGTTCGGCTATTTCAGTTCTATGAGAGGGGTGGGCGGATGTCGATTCAGATTGTTGGAAGTAGGTAGGCCATCTATACCAAGACCTTTCTACATGACCTTCACATCTCTACTACCAAAAAAAATACCAAAAAAACATACGACAGCGGGGATTCGCCAGTGGTCACCCACCTGACTACTAGTCCGCCGGTCGAAGGTTTATCATTTGGGGAACGAACGAGACCCAGAGCAGAACTTCGCCTATGGTCGTATGTGCCAGAAAAATAGTGATAGGTTTATAATATTCGTATATTGCCGGTGTTTGCGGACTTGATTCAGATTTCCAGCAGGGCTCACGTGATGTTATCGATATGTGACTTGGCACTGCCGCATCGATTGAGGTGGGCATCTTCGCGCTCCCTTTCGCATGCCGTATGGAGATGCGTAACAAAAGTTTCAAAAGGCTAGACTATGTACAAACGGCACTAATGAACGTTGTCGTCTACAGCGCTATGTATTCAAAGAGGTGAGCGTTGAGTCAAGTGTACTTATTGTTGCATTCTATTTAGCGATGATGCGATTCTGAGATGACCACTTGTGGCCCCGATGACCATGGTGTTTGTCGTGTAGGCATCTGGCATGAGCCACCCATCTAGTGAGGATCAGAATGCATGTTTTCAGGCGGAGGGTGAGTTACTATAGACAAGGAATGACCTCGAAAAGTAGATAGAAGGGCGCTTGCAGCATGAGCCACTCAACCGAACGAGAAAGCAACGGGTGTTACAATGCGCCCGGCTAGTTGGGCGACGGCTCTCTGCACAATATCGGGTCCAAAAATCAAAAGGACGGAGAGAATATCACTCGAATTATGCCACTGGGCCTTTAGATAATCTGCCACAATGATGTTGCGGGTTTGAAGCCAGTTTAGAGAAGGCGGACCTGCCGTGAAGGAATGCCATACCGGAGACATCCCGATTAGATTGCGTGCTCTAGCGAGATAAGCTTTGCCTCGAACTGACAAAATTCGTACGGAAAGAGGCCGATTTGTATGGAAACGCACTGAGGCACGCTAACAGCCTGCTCATGGAAGGGCGATGTACGTACTTGTAGCGGCTTAGCTGGAAATTTACCCTAGCGACCATAGTAAGCGTCAGCGCAACGAGCTAGGGGTGCGGATACCCCGCACCATACTAGATAGTAGCTATGTAATGTAACACTGCTACTTATCATCCAATTTATTTAGCCAATCGTCGGTTCAGTACACCATCCACGAGAAACCTTCATGGCTACAGTATAGCCAATTATTCATTTCTATTAAGCGATAATGCCGGTTCCAGCGGACAGTCATGTCACGCTGGATTTAGGCGAAGGAAGCCCCTCCCCAGCCACTAGCTTTATAAACCTTAGATGATTACTAGTGTCCCCTCATACCTTCCAAAAGACCAGTTGCGACACGCATTCATTGAATCCAACCTTAGCAAAGAAAAGCTCAAAATGGCCGAATGGTTCGTTTTCTCCATGCTCAATTTGCATCACTGGATTAACGACTTATCATAGCAAGTGCTTGAACAATCTCGGTAAAGATTCTCGGAGATTGCACGATAAGATTATCCAGAATCCGACGATCGATGAAATACTTTTAGACTTGATGAATTCCTACAAAGTTGAGAGATGTAGTAATCGAGCGTGCAATGAAATGAAAAACCGCTTGAATAAAACAGCTCCACCATGCGAATTTAAGGGTGGAGGATTTCGTACATGGGCGTTGAAAGTCGTGTCATGTGTGTTGCATAAACCATGCAAACAGTGCGGGGGGATTAACCTGAACAACAAATTAGAGAATGCCTGGAGTAAATGCATCGATCTCATCCTAGAGACCGACGAAGCGTCAAACTGGAACAGCGATATCGATGTATTCGGTATTTACTGGTTGATCTATTGGATGGCCGAACTAAGGGATAAGCAACGAACTTCTCGGGGAGTGCCGTGGAGCGAAATGTCGCGGAGCCAAATGCCTCCTAAAACCATTCAAGCTGCCTACAAACAAAACGTACTTGGAGTGGAACAGATCAAAACAGCAATCCAAAGGGTTTCAACAATTGGTTTTTGCCAATACCGGCTATGGAGTCTGGCCACGGCTACTACTCACGGCATCGTCACCCTCCCTTTTATTATTGACGCGTTACCATCCTTCCCCAACCAAAAACACCAGGATTGCACCGCTCAGGCCTGTCTACTTGGTGGCGAGAACTCAACTGAAAAGCGGCAGCTCCATCGGCGTTGTAATGGTTCTTGTGATCCGATACTCTGCAAGGTAGAAGATGTAGGCGATCGGTGCCTTTGGATATTACCAGACAACCAGCGTGATTTATCAAATGATGGACAATCCCCCGGCAACCCCCTTCCCTTTATGGCCATTTCCCATGTGTGGCTCGACGGAACTGGTCGGGGTGAGCATTCGGGAAAGGTCAACACATGCTTGTATAGCCAATTTCAGGAATGGGCAATGGAGCAAAATTGCAAGGCCATCTGGTGGGACGCAGTCTGTCTTCCTCGCGGGGATAAGAAAAAAGAGGCCCTAAGATGGATGCACAAGAATTACTACGACGCGAAAATCGTACTTGTTCACGACCTAGAGTTGTCAGCTTTTCCGTGGAGCGATGATGAAAAGCCTTGTCTTGCCCTCGCACTGTCCACATGGTTTACTCGCGGCTGGACGACGCTGGAGCTTGCATCGGCAAAGTCTGAAGAGACTATCAAGGTCGTTTTCCGCAACGCAACAGACAACAGGCCGGTTGTTAAGAGCCTGCGAGAAATTTTCGCCGGAAGCGAACGACTTGACGCCAAACCAGTCTATAAGGCTGTTTCCGATGTTATCAAACGAGTGATGGGGGATCCAGGGAAATCTCACGACCCGGTTTCCCAAATCTCGGCAATCTTGAACCCGCGGTATACATGCTGGCTCAAAGACCGGTCCTATATTGCTGCCCTTCTTGCAGATTTGGATTCCATAGAAGGCGAGAAAAACTCCGCAACTGAGCTTGATCCGACCTGGAACGAGAAGAAATTCACCCAGTTTACCATCAAAAAGGCGGGAAAGATTTCGCCATCATCGTTACTACATGGCAACGTTACAATGTCCTACTCGGGAAATTGGTCTTGGTGTCCGCTCTCCATCTTCGACATGCCTCAGGGGACATCGAAACATAACATGCTTACCGTTGATAAGAATAGGGGTACTGTGTCTGGTGACTGGGAGGCATGGGTATTTGACTCGGAAGAAATGAAAGCAACCCCAGTTGCGACTCACGATTCTGTGCGCTTCCGAGTAGTCGATGCCTTGACATCCGGGAAGAACCTTCTCGTTTTATATCCATGGCGTAAAGAGCGAGCTGATCGTATCAAGATCGGGGAAGGTATACGTTTTCTCCTAGTTGGCACGTATCGTAAACGTAGGATGGGAGTTAGTGACTTCGGACCTACCGTCAACTACTCTAAGAAGACTGTTTACTGTGAATACATTGGTACTATAACTCTACAAGGTAATGACATGAAATTTGGCCATAGAGTTAGAGTTCAGCTGTAGCTAGCAATTCAGTGCTTCAAGGAAGGAAAGGCTTTATGCCTCGTGCTTCTTAATTTTTTCCTCCAGTACAGATGGGAGGGCTAGGCTATTCTTTGCGCTTCTAAACAGGGTCTACACGTCCTTGACTCGAGAAACCTAGCCGTGGACTTGGTTGAGAGCATCGAGGCAAGAGCAGAATCGTGAAAAACTACATGTAAGCATAGGAAGACAGGGTGAGATTCTACTGGGTGGCGGCACGTGTCCAAGCTGAGGCAAGAACAAAAGACGTTGCAGTCGTGGACTCGACACACATGCATTGTTTTCCATAACCCATCTCCAGCCAAGGGCATGTCATTTTCCCTTTGCCTACTAACCATATATTCGCACTTCAAGAAAGGTGGGAATCCGAGTGTAGGGATTTGCATGAACCAAACGATGACGCGATCGCAGGTTTTGTAGTCTAAACCCAGTTCAGCGACCACATCTAATCTCGCCCAAAAACGAAACAACCCAGTCATGCAAACGTCGTCGTCCCCCAAAAGAGATATCAATTGAGTTTGGCGCGTCTCGCTAATCAAGAAAACATTTGCTTTGAAATCAACATAATTCACAGTGGTGAATTTTCTTGTCAAAAATAAGAGACTGGGAATTCCTTGGTTACCTTGTGCTGAATTGTGGGTTCCATTTCGCCCGGCAAGCCTCGGCGATCGCAAGTCAAGACAAAACCATTTGTGTGTGCATGGTGACGAACGACTGGAACGTCTTCTGCAACTAGAATATACGACAATATGGTATGTTTTTGGTTCTGCCAAGTTGTTGAGGCTTGGAGGGTGTGCTAACGGAAGAGTGATATTAGGTGCACGCCGACTCATCTACGTTTGCCGATGGCATGAGCAAAAAGGAGGTGTATGGGCAGGTTCTTGAGCAAGCGAGGGCGTTGTTTGATGGTCAGAGGAATTGGGTACGTGTTTGCGAGGCGATGTTTATGAACGGCGAACCGAGTCGTAGTTTTTGTTAATCTTTGCATAACATGCTGACATGAAATCTAGGTCTGGTGAGTTACTGCGTTACGTTTTGTGGGATGAAACAGGCTGTTTCGATGGACAGAGAGAAAAAAGTCTAACGTGTTTCTTTCAACAGCAACTTCTCAAACGCAGCCTCCCTCCTCTGGCATGCTTACCACTCCCTGCCGGCTCCTTCGTCAGCCGTCAACTGGGCGGGCTTCTACTTCACAGACCCGTCAAAACCATCCCAGTTGCTGCTTGGTCCTTTCCAAGGACAGGTAGCATGTCAGGTCATTGCCTTTGGGCGCGGTGTCTGCGGGAAGGCGGCGAAAGAAGCGACGACGCAGTTGGTAGATGATGTGGAAAAGTTCCCAGGACACATTGCGTGTGATGGGGCGAGCCGGAGTGAGATCGTTGTTCCGATTGTCAAGGATGGGAAGGTATGTGACTCTTTGTTTGTTTACTTGCTTTCATTTGGTACTCATAGCGGTGTTATGACCGGGAATTGACAAGATACATCGATGCTAAAACAGTAAAACAGGTGGTGGCAATTATCGATATTGATTGTGCGGAGCTCAATGGTTTTACGACAGAGGATCAGGAGGCGTTGGAGGAGCTGGCGCAACTACTTGCTGAGTCATGTGATTTCTAAGAGGAAGCGACGAACATGGGCGAAGAGCATGATTTTGGCGACACAAATGCCCCACTAGGAACGAGGAAAGAGCAAAAAAGGCCCATTGCGGGATTTGGAGTAAAAAAGAGAGGCATTGATGAGCATCATAAAGACAAAGACATTGTACGGGATTTGATCAACCTCGAAACAGGCGGAGGATTGTAATAAAGGCATCGACCTTTCGGACACAAGGAAACAATAGAATGTAGACAAAAGGATACCCGTTCGAATGAAAGTTACCCAAAAGGCATTCATGTTTAATTATGAAGATATGATGGCACTGGTGTCTGCTCCAACATGATCTCTCACCATCGCCATGTCGATAAAGAAACACGGCCTATACTGCCGTCTCAAGTCTACAATTAAGGCAAGATTTCGGCCTAAAATCGACAACAACACTGTCAAACTATGCATGCACGAGTTCTACAACAAACGCTGCAAAACTTGCCATGTTCCCGAGGCGATTGTGAGATTAGGCCTTGTAGATGCCGGATACCACTGCGAGGGATGCAGGTGTTTGAGGCTAGTTGAATATACCTCAGACGAGGTACCCGAATCACGTATTGGCGAAGAAAGGGCAGCCGTCGTAAGTGGCTTTGATGAGATAATTCGATCATGATTGAGTACTGATGATAACATAGCTGCTGAGAGACGAGCCAAAAGATTTATTGTCGTCCTCTTCTTCTTTGACCGTAGGAAATGTGGATGCATCAGAGCCGTATGACATGTCCATAATCGCAGCGTATGAAGACGACACCTGTAGCCTCCGGAGCACGGAAAGTAACGATGTGTTAGAAGAGGCTGTTCCAGCCACTGCTGTACACATGACACCGATGATGCCCACCGAAATCCATATCCGCTATTCCCTTGAGAGTCAAAAACGAAGACAAATAACAATTCTGGGAAGCAAATCAGTGTATGATGACGAGTCCTTGAAGCTTGGCACGTCTCTCGGTCAGGAAAATTCAATCAAATTTGATCTGACATGAGAAGAAAAGGATGATATCCAGGCTCTGATTCATGGAGCCATAAAGGGGGATGCAGAGTACCAGATCAAGCTTCTAAGATTATATGGCGAAATTTCGGCATCAGATGCGCCATGTACCTTGCCCTGGAGTAGCTCACAGCGCAGTCTCATCCGCAAAGCGCGACTTATCATGGGCCTTGAAATCCAGAGGGCTGCTGGGCGGATAACAGTCGATGCCTTGGACAAGATATCGACGCAGTTGTTTTGTCATGACAATGAAGAGGCCGCCATGGGCATGGAGGAGTTTGCAGCTTATAGCCGTGGTTTGTCCGACCGAGGTGAGATGTCTGGGGGGCGTGCAAAGCAAATCATCATGCTTGCTTTTGACGGAGAGTCGGATTTGGTTTGACGGATCGACGGTGAAGTGGTGAAGAGACAGGTATAGACGTACGACTGCAATGTCCTCAAGTCCACATGGAGTAAGCGCGGACAAGAAGGAGTTTAGTGCGTGTCGCAGCGGACTCCACCCAGGGCGCCGGCGTGCATGCATGGAGCCTAGATCTCGCTGATCGTAGCCCGATAGCCATCATGCTGGAACGGATGATGTCTTTATTCGGCCGGCTGGCGTCGTGGCAGCCACAGGAGAATGACAAGTCACAAGACGAGTATTTTGGCCGAAGAGCTCGCCGACTTCATCACACAGCAGGCGGGCGGGGTCTGACTGCATTCGAGAAGGTTGGCACGTGGCCAGGGAACGGGAGCATGGGAGGGGAGGGTGGGTGTGTTTAGTAGACGGATTTATATGCGTCCGCGGTATTACATACTTAGTCGATAGGTCGAGGTAGGCCCGGCGCGCACTGCTTACTACATACGTACGTACATGATACTGAGCTGCGCAAGACGACCATTCCTGCTGCCCACACTGCCCCAACTGCAACCTTGGAACCTGCCCACCTGCTGTTGTTGTCTTCCCTGGCATCGAGCGTCAAGCGTCCAGCCTTCCCCTCTCCGCCAATTGCGACTTGCACTCGCCGCTTCGCACACTTGCACACCCCGCCGTGGCCCCCCGACGTCATCACACCTAAGCCCCATCTTCCTCCCAACACCGCCACCCCCCTTGCGTTTGTCCAGAGACATCTTTTTGCTCAAAACTTATTGCTGCTCCTCAAGCCTCGCTTATCTCAGCTCCTAACACCCCCCCGCCCACCCCCTTCTCCACCTGCACCCATCCTCGTCGCCGCCACCCGGTCAACAAGCGCCGTCGCAATCACTCAAGCTGGCTGGCAACAGGCGCCGGAGCGCCCAGGGCGGCTTGCTCTCGAAGATGTTCGGGAATGCAAAAGACGACGAAGGTGCCGCCATCGATGCCCCTGCAAACAACGACGCGCCTAGGCCCGCGGCTGCCTCGACGGCCGACAACGCCGCCTCTGGCACACACGGCGCAAGCAATGGTGCCACTGCTGATCGCAAGGGCAGCGACTCTGCTGCTCCACCAGAGCGGAAACGACGGAGCAGTGGCGTGTCGCGTGCCCGCGATATGTTCTCGAGCGCGAAGCAGTCATTGCACATTGGCGGCTCCTCCCCCACCTCGACCTCGTCTGCCAACACCGCCCACATGTCGGAGAAGCCGGCTGCCCAAACTCCAATGCAGAAGCTGGGCAAGTCGGACGCTGCTCTCAGCGTGCCCCAGGGCTCGCTCAACAACTCTGCCGGCGAGTCCGCACCAGGCCCCCGTTCCACGTTCCGCGTCGGTGTCACCGAGGACAAGAACAAGAAGTGCAGACGGACTATGGAGGATACACACGCATACCTATACAACTTCCTCAGCACTCCGGCCCCCTCGTATGGCCTGGACAAGCCCCGCGCTGTCTCGGATGCGAGCTCGGTCCAGTCTGATCTATCGCAGGCCGTGGTTGAGAGCGATAATGGCTACTTTGCCATCTTCGACGGCCACGCCGGTACTTTTGCTGCCGACTGGTGTGGGAAGAAGCTTCACCTAATCCTGGAAGAGACGATTCGAAAGAATCCCAACACGCCGATACCCGAACTTCTTGACCAGACCTTTACCGTAGTCGACCAGCAGCTTGAGAAGCTTCCTTTGAAGAACAGTGGTTGCACTGCTGTGATTGCAGTTTTGCGATGGGAGGATCGAGTGCCCAACGCACAATCGTCCACCGGTTCTGTCCTCTTTGCACCCGCGGCAGTGTCAGCTGTCAAGCAAGCTGGTGAGGGCGGCGAGGCCAAAGACGGTGCCGACGCCGTTACCTCTGAGCCTGCAGCCGAACAGGTAGAAGCAAAACTACGAAGTGAGGCTACTCGGCAGCGCGTATTGTATACGGCGAACGTGGGCGACGCGCGCATTGTTCTTTGCAGGAATGGCCGAGCCCTTCGCCTTTCATATGACCACAAGGGTAGTGACGAGAACGAAGGACGTCGCGTTGCTAGCGCTGGTGGTTTGATCCTCAACAACCGCGTCAACGGCGTCCTCGCTGTCACGCGTGCACTGGGCGATGCATACATGAAGGACCTAGTAACTGGACATCCCTACACCACGGAGACAGTTATCCAGGCCGACCAAGATGAATTCCTCATCCTCGCCTGCGACGGTGTAAGTCATGTTCATGTGAATAATTCATATTCGCTAACAGGTACAGCTCTGGGACGTCTGTTCCGACCAAGAAGCCGTCGATCTTATACGTCAAATCCATGACCCTCAAGAAGCCTCAAAGAAGCTCGTCGATTACGCTCTTGCCCGCTTCTCCACCGACAACCTGTCGTGTATGGTTGTGCGGTTCGACAACAAAGCCCTCCGCCAGCGCAAGAACGAGGCCACGACAAGCTTGGACCAAGAGCAAGCAGCTATGAAGGGCGGCATCACTGAAGCAGACTCAATTGTAGCGCAGGCAAGGAAGTCGATTGGCGAGCCAGAGACATCGGTCGAGCATGCGGCAAAAGAGATTATCATGGAGGAAACCGAGGCTGAGCCTGGTCCTGAGCTGAGTCTCGAAGCTGCCAAAGCCGCGAGGAAAAACGACGTATAGTTAGGATGAGAAAGGGTCCACTGCATGTAATTCATAGTTCAAGGGGTGGGGGAGGCGTCTCATATGCGAGTGGAGAGGCGCATATCAATGATGAGGAAGTGATGTATAGTTTGTAGGCATGCTTGTGCATGTTATGCGCTTGATCTGTATGCATTTCCTAGAGTGTGCGCCACATCTGGACTGGGTGCTTTAGATTTGTAATCCAGCAAAAAGTCGAGACAGCGTATTTAGGTTCTGAAACTCGTGCCGTGGCACTCGTAGACGTTGGTTTGCCCCGCATGTTTGCGCATAGACTTTGGAGGAGCACGATACGCTAGTGACGATCGTGCATCGTGGGGCGTCTACCTCCGCCATCTTCCACGGCATTTCAAAAGTCTCGGGCTTTATAAGCGTAGTGCCCACTGTATCCTTCCCCCCGAACCAAACATCACTGGGGTTACACGCCCCATGCGGCTCCGAGGAGCATCGCAATAAACCATGTCTGGCCACGACGCGGCGGACTCAGCGACCAACGCCCTCGGCAGCGATGCGCGACCGGCTTTTGTGACACCGCGAGATTTACTCCAGCAATCCCGCGCCCCCTTGCCCTCTAAAGAGCAACCGCGTCAGCTTTCGGCTATCGATCGTGAGCAGCTGGACGGTCTGGTATGGCAACGCTTGTGTGGTGAAGAGTCATGGGTACAGGCTGACACGAGGCCAGAGAACCATTCGAGCTTTTCTCAAGGCGAGGACGAGCTATGACGTGCTCCCTATCAGCTACCGCCTCATCGTGTTCGATACTGCCCTGTTGGTAAAGAAGAGTCTGAATATCCTGAACCAGAATGGTGAGCTTGTCAGACATCGCATACAAGACATATCAGCTGAGAGCCCTCCATAGGCATCGTCTCAGCGCCGCTGTGGGACTCCAAGTCATCTACTTTTGCCGGCCTTCTCACAACATCCGACTACATCAACGTCATCCAGTACTACTGGCAGAACCCAGATGCGCTGGCTCGAGTAGATCAGTTCCGCCTGAACAGCTTGCGAGGTAAGGAAGCTTGGTCCACGTACACCAGGCGTGTACTGACGCAAGACAGACATCGAAAAGGCACTCGGCGTCAAGCCCATAGAAACCATTTCTATTCACCCCGACCGTCCCGTATACGAAGCATGTCGTAAGATGCTCGAGTCGCGCGCCCGGCGTATACCAATCGTCGACAGCGATGACGAGACACATAGGACCATGGTCGTTAGTGTCATTACACAATACCGCATATTGAAATTTATCGCGGTGAACGTCAAGGAGACGCAGAAGCTACGCAAGCCGCTTAGGGAGCTGAACGTTGGCACGTATACCGATCTCGCAACCGCATCCATGGATACCCCTGTCATGGACGTCATACACATGCTTGTCAAGAAAAGCATATCGAGCGTTCCTATCTTGGACAAACAAGGTAAGGAGTTGAAGTGGTTCCAGGAAGATATAGCTGACAATGGTAGGAACTGTGCTCAATGTGTTTGAAGCCGTCGATGTGATAGCGCTCATCAAGGGCGGTGTATACGACGACCTGAACCTAACGGTCGGCGATGCTTTGTTGAAGCGTTCAGATGTAAGTAGCTTGCTAGACTTGCTCGAAAGAAGTGGTATGCTAATATTTGCAGGATTTCCCTGGCATATTCACCTGCTCGCTGAACGACAACATGTCAACAATCTACGACACAATCCGCAGGTCACGCGTGCACCGCTTCGTGGTCATTGACGAGAACAGCAAACTCAAGGGCGTCGTTACGTTGAGCGACGTGCTCGAACACACTCTGCTTGAAGGCATGGAAGACGAGTAGAGCAACGCCGTCCATGGCCAGCTGTCAGGTTTACATTGGACGTCACTGGCACTCGATGAGCAAAGGATGCGACGATGCGACGACTAGATTGCCCGCTGGTGGGGCGACGATACTACCGAGTACGCAGCTGGAGCACAAGAACTAAACAAGGATTACTGCGGCTCGTCTTGGGAAATGAAGCGAAGATACCAATAGACGAAGAAAGAAATGCGCTGATTAGGACAAAGTGTTATGACTTTCTTGTATGGCGCAACGGGATGAGGAAGCCAGTGAATTGAATTTGTTTTGTGTCTTTGTAAATTCATCCTTTGCCAAAATCCCCATCTTCTTCTTTTCCTTTCAATACTCTATCCGACGCCAACAAAACCTACATGTGAATAACTTGCCCCAGTCCACTTACTTACTCGTCCCACCTAATCCCCACACCTCACCCACCCTCCTCGCAACCCCCTCCCCACTCCAATACGCCCCCGTCACCGTACCCAACGCCACAAACGGCGCACAATGCTCCCCCGCAACCCACACCCCGCGCTCCGGCATCCCGCGCCTCAACACCTCAACATCCTCATCTCCCGCCTGCAATCCAATCTGGAAATTGCAATACGAGCCCCATCCCGCTAGTTCGTCGTTTGCCCACGCCGTCGCTAGCACGGCTTTCGGCTTACACTCTTCATCATCTTTTTTGTAGTTTGGTAGCAACGAGTAATACGGGGCGAAAAAGTCGATGAGGATATCTTTGTGTTTTTCCTCGGGAATCGAGGCGAGGAGGTTGGCTATGTGTTTGCTTGTTGGACCGTGGGTGTAGAAGAGGAGGGTTGGATGAGCGGTGTCTGAGGGGAGGGCGGCGAGGTTGACGGCTTCTTGGTTCCAGGATGAGGGGTTTGTGGTGGGGGTGTAGGTTGGGTTGAGCCAGTGGGTGAAGCCGGGGTAGTGGGTGGGGTTTATGGGGGAGTCTGAGGAGGGGATTGGGCTGGGGGATGAAGTGGTGGTGGTGGTGGTGGGAGAGGAAGTGTTCCAGAAGGCGGTGGGGAAGGTGATGTAGACTTTGTCTAGATGGCCATATCCGAGGTTTTGGATTGCGAGGTTGAAGCGGGGTGGTAAGGGGGGAGTGAAGGCTGTTTTGTTTCTTTTTAGCCAGCCGAGGGGGGTGGTTATGACTACTTGGTCGAAGGTTAGGCTTTTTTTGTCTTCGAGCTCGAGTGTGACTGCTGTCTCGCCGTTGGTTTCTTGGGAGAGAATCGATTTGACTTTGTGCTCGAAGAGCATGGTCGCGCCTTTGAGTGCAGGTTCGGCAATCTTGTCTAGGACTTTGGCGTATGTCGATGCTACAAAGAGGTTTTCGCCGTCGATGCATTCTTCTAGCCAGAAGAACTTGAGACTTTGCGTTTGGATTGGCGAGCCGACAAATGCACCCCACATCTCGGCCATCTCGAGTATATCTCTTTGCTTCTTCTTTGGCTTTTCATCGTTGCCTGGGAACATTTTTACCACCTGCTCCTGAAAGTAATCGTACAAACTCATTTCGGCTGGTATTGTTGCAGACTCTTGATTCGAAAACTTCATTGCTTGCTCGATGATTCCCCAGACATGCTCACTATTTTCTGCTGCTTCTTTGTCGGGCATGTGTTTTCCTAAACTGTCAAAAACCGACTGTCGACCATCCCAGTTCATAGCCACAGTTTTTGTTCCCTTGGCAAGATCAAGAATGGGATTGTCGTCTGTTCCATGTATCCAATTTGGGCCGCTTTTCAACTTGTTAGTACGTACTTTCTCGTTCAAAGCGAGTTATCAAGAGTGTATAAGACCTACAGATCGACCAAGTGACCTAGCGCATTGCTTTGACATAACTGTAGACTGTTCAACACACAAACTCTCCCAAAAGATTTCAAAAACTACTCACCCGTCCACCAACTCTATTTCTTCCCTCGAGTATAGTCACTTTGACACCTTGCTTCAACAAGATATCCGCACATCTCAACCCAGCAACACCAGCGCCGACAATGCCAATATGTGGAATCTTTCCCGCCGCTTTCCGAATCATGTTTGGTTCATCCATGTAGCTTTGTAAATGTGGGGAGCTAGATAAATCCCTCGATATACGTGTCTCACCCTCGGGTGTTGTCCTATCATGTGTTCTGTCAGCATGCCTGACTGCGTTCTCATTGCCGATATTGCCCATGTTGACGTTGTGTGCTGTATCAAGGTAAAAAGGCAAGAGAGACAGAGAGAGAGACTAATTCGAGAGTACTCCTTGAAGATTGGATTGGGGTTGGAAAAAGGTACAGTGCAGTTCTTGGCTGATCACTACACTAGGCGCATGGCCGTTGGCTTACTCGGAAAATGCAGGGCTCGGAAGGGAAGGTGGGGTTGGACCACAACGATAGACAGCCGCGTGATAGAAGCCCAGTCCAGTCCAGTCCAGTCCGTGCTATCAATACAGCGCCAACGTGGTGTGCCCAAGTGGCAAGTGAGGCGTGTGATGAGGCGGAGTGTTGAATGTAGTCATGCTGGTCATATTGCCGGCGGCCCGCTAGCTTTAGTTGGTGGCACGAGGCTAGACAATGGCATTGATTGGACCATACACGCAAGGAAGCTCAGTTTAGCTTAATCCATTAGATTACTATCTAAAGAAAGGTCATTGCAAGAATCGTCGTCGTAAGTATGGCTGTTATTGCCGTGGTATCAAATCTCGTCCTTCATCAAACAGATGCTACTTTTACCAACACCTCACAGTGTAGAGCAGCGGAAGCATCTAAGCCTATTTGTCCTTGGAGCCAATGTGAAGCTTGTTCTTCATCTTCTCCTTCAAGTGCGACATCTTGCCGCCCTTCTCCTCGTGGCTATCAGACGACAACTTGCGACCAGTGTCCGTCTCTGCCACGCCTGCCATACCGTCAGCGCCTTTCAGAATATGCACGGCCTTTTGTGTTAACGTACTCTTGGACTCCTTTGGAGAAGCGGCGTTTTGTTTGGCAACGTCCTCTTCGTACTTGCTGCTATCCGAAGTCACGCCCGTGTTTGTCCATGCCGGAGTATCACGCTTCTCGGCTTCCTTCTCGGCTTCGGTCTTGTTGAGGCCAGCATCGGTTTCTGGACGCTGAGGCTCGGAGCCAGAGTAAAGACCGGACGAAGCCGTCACTGAGTCGGGGGCTGAAGTCTTGATAGCGGCATCAGAAGAGGTGGTGGCAGAGGTGTTCGCCTCAAGGCCGGGAGTCGCAGAAGTGACATTGCTGGGCGCTGTAGGGCCAGCTCCCGGAGCACCTGAGCGGCTGATGTCATCTAGTGGGGTGTCCTTCCAAACCTTGTCCGTGACGCCAGTGGTCTCTGTTGCGCTTGATGTGGGATTGTTGCTCAATACAGCAGTGTCAGGAGCAAGGGAGGTAATGGGCATGCCGACGTTGGAAGTGTCGTTCTTGCTAGCAGAGTCGATGGTAGGGGCAGAAGTGGTTGTCTCAGCCTGGATTTGGTGAACGGGGTCCAACTTCAAGAAAGCATCCGAACCAGACGTCTTCTCTGCTGCGGTCTCAGTCGCCTTGGCTTTGGGAAGTCAGCACCGCATAAAACGACAGATATGGAGTCTCATAAAGTCGTGGACTCACTATCGTTGCCCTGGTCAAACGGCTCGCTAACAGTGCCATTGCCCAATGCTCCAGATACAGGCTCCTTTCCGGCCGTCTCGTTGTTAGATGAATCGACATAGTCGGTCTTGTCGGCTGTAGCTAGAGGGGTTGCTAAAAGGCAGGTTCAGCACGTGACATACGGTAAGAAGGGAGACTCGTGCAGCTCACCAGCATTGCCCTTGTCGTAGGGGTCAGTTGCAGTTCCAGCGCCTTTCTCGCCCGAGATTGGCTCCTTGCCAGCAGTTTCGTTGTTGTGCGTCTGATCGCCGTAGATGAGCTTGGAAGCTGCTGTAGTAGCAGTAGTAGCAAGGTTGGTGATGGTCTCCATTGTAGCTGCAGCTAGTGCTAGTTGGATTTGTTAAGAGCAAGGTTGTGTATGCGGGAGGTAAAAGCAAAGAGTCTGGAGGGTTTGTTGTGAAATGGACGAGGCCGTGCTTTGTGTATTATCAGGGCGGGCGGGCAGTGACGTAGGTGACGGCGTTTGTCCCAGTTCCAACATTGACCACGACTGCCCGTGTGTCGCACGAGCACGCGAACCGCCATTGATCAATCTATCGTGGGCGCCTAGCTGTGGCTCCGTCGAGGCGTGTACCTGTACCTTGGTTTTGGCCACCAGCCATCAATACGTCGATGCATTCATGGTGACGCGGCTGGGCTTGCGTCATAGGGCGAGGTAGATAGGGAGTAGTACTACCACCATTGCAAACACGTCAAACAGGGCCCTGCATGTTGCTAGGTAACGCCATACGAGTCCTTCATGGCATTGCTACTTCACTGCTTTTGTTTTATTAAAGAGTATGTAAGATGTTGACATCGCGATTCAGAGACCCAATGAACTTGCCTGGTTAGATGAAGCAGAGCACGGCGGGCTGGGGGCTATGGACGGTCCAGTAGCCTTGCTGTGCCTTCAGCCGCGCCCGACTTGCCACGCGCATGTATACGCATATGCATGCACGCCTTGCAGCAAATCCTACAAGGCAAAAGTGCGCCCTTAGGAACGGGAATGTTCGCAGTTGGCATACCATTGAGCCTCAAAAACCCTTCAATCTGGCGCCCCTCCCGTTCGCAGTACCACCCAGCCCACCATGGTTCGTTTTGCAGCACGTTCTATCCTTGCACATCTGTTCGAGCCCTGGCTGCCATTCCCATCCAAGGCTGAGAGTTTCCTCCATTTTACTATCACTCCTTGCCATGGGTGCTGAGTTTGCGCTGTTGCTGCTCTTGGTCGGGCGAGCAAAATCTACAATGACTACCGTACCCAAGGTATTATTGTCGCTCGGCCCATATGACCGCCCCGACTTGATCATAAATACCAGACGTTGCTCGTCAAGCACACCCGTCACGCTCCTCGTGTATGACGCACCACTCGAGGGAATTGCTGGATTAAGTATGTTGTGCAGGTGTTGCGAGCAAGGACAACGCGATGCTCGAGGCGGCCACATGCGAATAGGTGATTGTCGATAGTGCGTTTGATTATCCACAAAATTTGGTTTCGTGCTATAAACAGCCGCAGCCTTTCCCTTGCGGTTGACTGTCGCATTATCGTCGAGACCTGTTTCGCGCCGTGATCCTATTCGCAGCCTCAGACATGGCGGCTTCGAGGCATCATTGCAGCATTCTTGATCTTCGACTAGATCCATAAACGTAGTACATGCATAGTTGTAAGCTCTAAATTTTGTTCTGGCGAGCATAAAGGAGCGCGGCGCAGGGTCAGTGCCGCAAAATTCTGGATGTTGACTCCAGCTGAAGAGATCCGGCGTAGGCTTCCATTGAGGTCTGTTGGATGAGTCTATGACCGGAAGATATATATCGTCTTCGGGTAGTAGTAGTTCATCTGAAATGTCCATTGTGCCATTTTCGCTTCCAAACTCCAGACGGGTTACGTAAAATGTACGTGATTGTCGCGAGGACGCTTCTGCCCATTCTCTCCTCGACTCAACAATCACCATTTCGTTTGTACTCTCATCGCTCTGTAGTGTAAGATCGGTCCAAGAGTCGTGAATAGGCCCTTGTTTATGCTGGCGACGATACAGCCGTTCGTCCCTCTCGACACTGGCCGGCAACGGCGAATGGAGTGGGAAGCGAGCAACATGGTAGAAAGAGGTATAGTCAATCTCTTCAACCTCAAAGGTGGTTTGATTGGAGACTGCGTAGAAGTGACCATTGTGTATCTCGAACGCGACTGTAGAGCCAATGTCCGATCCATGGAAGTTGTCCAGCACTAACCGCTTTGCGCCATCCTGTATCTTAATGCTATTGTTCAAACGTACGCCGCCAATTTCCCATTTATGGTGGCCATCGCTACCTCTCCCTGTATGCGTACCATAGTAGAGGAAATCGGCGGTGTGTCTAACGAAAAGTTTAGAGCTTGAAGGAAGCCGCACCATTTGGACCAGTCTTTTATCATCAGGACAATTGCGCGCCATACTGAGAGCAATTATATAACCACCATCGGATTCACCCTCTTTCTTGAGGTGAACAGCAAGGATTCCGTCAGCATAGTTGAGTAGGTCCACGTCAAAATTCCCAGGCACTGGAAAAGGCGGTCCTAGAATCGGTCCAGCAAATACAGTGAGATCGATATGAATATCATGCGACTGTGAGCGTAGATCCGAGAGATGTACAGTCTTGCTTTCAAGTACGCATAGGATTCCCTGTCCATAAACAAATGCGTTTCCATTGCCCCAAGTACGTGCTGAGAATGGGTATGCAGTAGACAAAGCATGCCTTCTGTCATAGATTGCTCTCACGGCTTGCTTGTAAGTAATTTTTTCTGTCCGTGCTAGTTTTGCTTCTTCTGTATAAGGAAAGTCCACCTGTCGGCAGCGTCAGCTTTGATCGTAAGCACTGACGTTTCCCACTGCAGTGCTTACTTCGATTATGCTTCTGCAAACTGTCCTTTCGTCCATCAAGGCACTCAGCTGCTGGCATGTCTGACTGAGATGAACAATGTCTTCAAGACTCAGGTTAGCAGCCACGCAGAATAGAATGTCAAAAGGGAGTTGGTCCAAGGTGGGATGCATAGACCGCGCGAGAAATGTGTAGTAAAAAGCGACCAAGAGAAGCCAGTAATTGGAATAGAGATTTTTTATATAATGGGCCAAACGTAGAGCTCAATTTCGTGAGATTTTGTACTGGAGAGAAATGTATAAACCGATAGGTCGTTTTAGTTGAGTAGCGAGCAGCTGGTCAATTCTTTACACCAGAGGAGCCGCACACGCACCATTTCATGTCTGAAGGAGCAGAGCCGCAAAAAAGGAAGATGCCGTCGCACAAGGCCGTACCCCAGTAGTACAGAAGAAGGCATCCAATCAGTGGTACAAGCCCCACTTTAGTTAAGTCGACCAGGCTGACCATGTTTGGCCAGTCAACAGATGACTGAGTATTAAAATGAGGCTCTGTGCAATGAAGACCAGGACCAAATTCAGATCACATACCGGTCAGGCTCAGCGAGGCGCCGTATGTCAGGTGTTTTCTCGTCTGTTCGTACATCGCATAACAGATCCAAATTGCTCGTGAGGCACAGGCTCAGAGCCGCATGCCTCTAGCATACACCAGGCTAGCTGCTCTGGGCCAAGTTTCTTGTTGCTGTAGCATGCTTCAACCCCCGCACTTATGTACAACACAAGCAACCATGATTCTTGTCAAACGTACGCGGTACTACCAACATCGGTATCACCCTCTCTACTTATAATTCTCATTAATGTGTTACTTCTGGCCAGCTGCGTCTTGAGTCCGGAAGTATGGGCACGTTACGACCTGTTCAGCCTTGTCCCGCCGACTTCGGCTCATTAGATGGTAGTCTTCAGCCTGATCCCACTATCAGGATCTCGTATGCACATGATACATCTGATGCGAGAAACGGCCGTGAAAATCGCTAAGGTCGTGCAGCAGTAGCGTCTCTTGGCCAACCTTTCAATGATTCTAATACGTCGCGGACAAGGCGCATTGCAGCCGCTGCAGCTAAAACAGCAGCGTAACAGCTATATCCAGTATCACGGGATAGCAGGGCAACGGCTGCTACTCCGATGAGTCGATTTACTAAAACAGTCAACTCGAACTCACGTCTTTAGCGTTGGCGGATCTACGTATAGATGCCAAATACCAGAAGCAAGAAAGGTAATGCAGAGTCAAAAGAGGCACCAGATCGGACATGACGAAGTGTGTATATAAAATGCTAACATGACCGTTCGGAAAAACGACGGCAATACAGGTGGCAGACCTACGGGTGTAGTCGGTAACGCACTCATTCTCAGCAATATGTTACTAAGCATCAATTTGAATGCGCTATTCGATCATAACATTCAGCCTTATGACGGGCTGTGGGTTGCAGTCACTTACGAAGTGCTAGTCTTGGAGAGATGATTCTTCGTCAGGCTGAACATAGCCGTTCCAATAATGGATGCTACGTTCCCACTCGATACAGCGCTATGCATCTTGCGAGCGTTGATCTTGGCCTTTGGCTTAATGCTAATGATGTGTGTTGCATCTAACAACCTGGAGCCAACTGTATCAACTGGTTTTTAGAAGTGTATACTGAGTGAACATAACCTTTTCTTAGGGAACCTAAGAAATGGTACCAGATTCGAGCAACCATACGTAACGAGACCGATAAATCTTCAAGAGACGTGTCTACTGGAAAGTGCTAGTTGGATAGCGACCAACTAAGAGGTGGAAAATCATGCTGACAACGGAAAAGCAGTGCTTGAGCTGCCATGTGTGCAGAGGATACGGACAAAAAGGCTGACAAGTCATTTCAAGAACACCCAACACTATCGCGTTGCAGCATATTCACATGCACTGCACCTCAAGTTGCTAGACATTTTACGCACACAAAACGAAACAACGAGTACCTACCATCAGCATCAGAGCTTAGAATCAGAGCCCAGCGTGCTTTTTCTTACCATTTCGCTCGCTTCTCTCTTAGTGCCCATGGCAAACTTCCAATCTGATTCTCTTATCAACCCTAGAGCTCTAGGTTGGTGACTGGGACCGGTGCCTTTTAAGCTCACATACAAGTGTATTATGCAAGATTAAGTCCCGTAGTCCTTCTATATGTTTACTTCTGGTCCATTTGCTCAGTCTTCTCATCATCACCTACCAATGCTTATGTAAAGCCATCCTTCCTTGAAGGGACCTGAACCGCGGTAAGTCTTGATTTTTTTTTCATTGTAGCTGAGAGATACCCTTTCCTTGTCAGGGCTAACACTTGGTGGCTGCATACAGCCGTAGGAAACTGCAGTTTTATCGCCCTTTGTAGGAAGAAGCCAGCCGCTCAAGGCGCAATGTCTTGCAAAATATCGTTTGGTCCCATGATCAACGGCTTATTTTTCGTTTGGGGCGGTGGCTTCCTCACAAAAATTTCGGTCGTAAGTCTCCTTTTGTAGCTAAGATGCGTATTTCTCTTATCGAACTTTACCCATAGTGGCTGCACACAGCCACCACAAGTAGTAGCTTACAGACACATACAATGATCAACTGGTTTGATTCTAATGCCTTGGCCAGTCTGTATCCCATGTTTGAGGACCTCAGAATCTGTTTGCCACCACATGCGGTCAGCTGCAAGGCTGAGGTTCAGCCCTCAGGCTGCAGCTCAGCCTGATCCTCACTACTAAGTACCGACCGAAGCCAAAAACTTTCTAGCAAGTTTTTTATGGTCTATCCACTTGCAAACATCTCGGACTACTACTCTTTGCACCACTACCTAGATGTCCACCTCGAACCAGAAATGGATCCTAGAGGGACCGAATATGGCTCGTCTCTCTCCGCACGGAGATGAGATACCCGTTAGCCATACCTCCAAAGCCAATATCTTTAGGCCATCTAGCCAATATCCTAGCTCAGTCTCTACCGGCACTTCTCGTGGGCTAAACGTCTTCAGGGAACAGATACCTACCTATCAAGAGGCATCAGACGACGACGAGCCTTCATCTACAGTCTGTGATACTTGTAGTGTACATATACAGCCTATCTGGAATTGTTCTTACTGCGACATGAACTTTTGCGATGACTGTTGGGGGAAGCAGGGCCCACACAAATTGGGTCGGAAGGGTCCCGATGGCCTACCCCATGAGAAGGCCAATCCAACAATCGTCCAAAGACTAAAGGACATCCTCGCCCCACCCCAAGATTACCATGAACAGCAAATTCTGCATGTCGAGGATGAAGATACGACATGGTTTGGGCTGGCGCGTGACAATCACAACAAATCCATTTTGGATGACCGTGGACGCTACGCTGCTATCATGGCCGACAGCAATACTGATGAGTACCAGTTCCGATATCCCCAGATCGTCTCTTTTATTGGACAAACAGGTGCTGGAAAGAGTACTCTCATCAAAATGCTCATAGATCAACAAGAGAGGATACACGGCTCGCGCGAATGGGCGTTCCCGTCACCAGTAGTTGGGTCAATGACGAACAGCAACATACCAACGTCATGTGATGTTCACCTTTACAGTGATCCAACCACATATCTATCAGAACATCCCATGCTTTTCGCAGACTGCGAAGGTTTGGAAGGCGGCGAAAACACTCCAATAAGCGCTCAGTATCGCGAGAAGGCGTCACATACTTCTGAAGAGAGGGGGAAAGGGAGAGAGATGCGCCGAGAGCATCCCAAACTACAACAGATTACCAGAGGATTGAATCGCACACGTCGAGAAATCAAATGGGCGAACTCGCCAGAAAAGACAAAACGTCAGTACGCAGTCACAGAGTTTTATCCACGTTTGCTATACACATTTTCGGATGTGATCGTGTTCGTCTTGCGAAATGCAAAGTAAGTTCTAAAAGTCTATACCTTAATGCTCCGTTGTGTTTACTATTTGCCTATATTTTTCTTTTAATCATTGTCGACCTGCTCCAACTATCTTTTCTAAATCTGACTCAATATTGCAGGACATTTGAGTCTACTGTGCTCACACTGTTGATCAAATGGGCTAGATCGTCCATTGAAAAGTCAGTCAACCAACCTATCCTGCCTCACGCCATCATTGCTCTCAACGCGACAAGTACCAAAGTCGATCAGAGCGCTTGGGACCCTGAATATGCAACGGAATCTCTTCTAGCTGATGTCGCTGGTGCAGTCGATCGAGACCCAGCTTTTAAAGAGCTAAAAGAATATTGGGGTGGGAAGGGTAGAAACATTCACACCGTGAAAGATCTTCTTCTATGCTACTATTCCTCGATCACCGTTATAAGGATACCCGGAGATGGCCGTTATATGATGATCGACGAACAGATCCAAAAACTTCACGATACGCTGTCTAGGCGGTGCAGAGAGTCATTCAATACGAAGCGTAGGTCTCGCATGCTTTTCAACTCCGACGCTTTGAACGTATACCTGCATTCCGCATTCGAACATTTTTCAAATGATTTGAACAAACCATTCGACTTCATGGACGCCTCGTTCAAGATCAATCCCATTCCTTTGGATTTTGGAGGTAATATTCTCAAGCTGGCTGTTGCTATGAAGGCTCAGTACGATGATCCCAGAAAGATTTTCGAGGAATTGAGCTTTATGGTAGCTTCTTGTATTGGGTTGGACTGTGTTCGACAGAACTTTAAAGGTACGTAGCGCAACCCCACTCAAGTCACTCTTTACACTCTTTTACCCCAAATCCCAAATTCACAATTCATTAACACGTGAGATTTCCAGGCCCGGCAAACCAAATTCTCGAAAAGCAATACCTTTCCCACTGTGATACAGCACTGGAAGACTTTTGTGCGCTCTACTGGCCATGCACATTCAACTATATGCACCGCGGCCGCTGTGTGAATGTGAAGGAGACTCATAACAAGGGACATCAGAATAGAAAGGGTATCATCATTGGCACTGGTCCGTATGAGTCCAACTTTACGTTTACTGGCTTCGCCAAAGACTGGTCTCGGCTTTTGGAGAGCCACCTTGCAAAATTTCAAGTTGAGCTCAGTTCCCAGCTCATGCAAACCCCATCTGCGAGTGAGGTGGATATTACCACAAGACTCCACCACGCCAACATCACGGCATTCTACAAGCGTCTGGGTGGCGCCCAGAAGTTTGTCAGTCACTTGACTTGCTACTGCTGCCTTCGAGAACTGGCCGAGCATCCTCTACGTTGCGGACATGTGCTCTGTACACCCTGTATCAAAAGTTACGGAAACCCTCATAATGAGCTTAAACACTCATATTCAATGGCTTCTTGTCCTCTCCATGACTACGAAACCGTCTTCTCTGCTCATTGGCCGGTGCACTTTAAGCCTCCGCTCGCTGGTGTGCGGGTGCTATCACTTGATGGGTAAGTAAACCGCATTCACCAGAAAATGATACTAACAAAGGCAGTGGCGGTATGAGAGGCATTGTCATTCTAAGTGTTCTTGGGGAGATCCAGAAAGAACTAGGAGGGCGCATTCCTATCCAGGACTTTTTTGATCTTATAGTGGGCACCAGGTGAGTCGCTGTAGAGTCTACCATTAGTTCCCGAAGGAATTTGGGCACATGAGCAAGCGAGAGTTGACCATCCTTAGTACCGGCGGATTGCTTGCACTTGGCCTTGGAGTCAAAAATTGGTCCATCGAACAGTCTACGCAGACGTTCCTGAGATTGGTGAGAACTGCGTTTACTTCCAGGTATCCTGGTGGTCTCCAATTGATGAGGAGCAAATACCGTACCAAGCCGCTTGAGAAGGCTTTATACCAAGCTTTCGGGGACGAAGCCATGTTCGGAGGAGTGCCAGAGGATATGAGTGGCTCTACACGGAAAGTTGCTGTAACAGCTGCCACTGAGACGGGTGAGGAGGTTGTGATCTTCACGAATTATAATCGTGCGAGTAAATCTGGAAGTAAGTCGCCTTTCGCTTGACCTGACCAGAGCTTATACTTTCGACAGTTGGCTACCGCCCAGTTCGCCCAGATGACCCTAACAACGACCTTAAAGTCAGAGAAGCGTAAGTGTATCGGCGTAAGAGCCCTGAGGCTTACAGCTGACATTGGCCTAGTGCAAGAGCCACATCTGCTGCACCATTCTTCTTCAAGCCCTTCGTCAATGGCAGAACCAAGGAGAGTTATATTGACGGTGCTGTCAAGCACAACAATCCAGTACGAATAGCCAACAGCGAAACCAAGTTCCTCTGGCCGGATGTAGAAGAGCGCTATCCAGATATCTTATTGTCTGTTGGGACTGGATATCATGAGTCGGGTGTGGAGGGTTCCTCAATTGCCGGATCTGATCGCAGACGCATGCAAGTTCGAAAAGCGCTCGAACTAACGAAGAAGCGATCCAAGATATCAAAGGTCTTCCCACAAGTAGATTCTTGGTTCAAATTCGCCAAGCAGCGCGTCGAGGATATCCTCAACTCTGAAAACATATGGAGAGATTTCCGCACCGATGTTGTGGGCCTGTCTTCGCCTATTGCGGCAGAGAGATATATACGCTTGAACCCTAATGTCAGGAGCCCAGTGCCCAAGATGGATGACACGCAGAAAGTCAACGACTTGCAGAGGGAGGTTGCTGATACACTTCGCACGCCCGAGTCACAGGTTATGATACAAACGATCGCTGGCCGGCTCATTGGTGGCTCGTTCTATTTCGAAAAGATTGGGCGACCCAGAGAGATCAGAGGTGTGCTCACCATCCAAGGTATGCACTCACAGTATCTCCATCAGATGAATACAACTAAAAAAATCAAAGGTACTATAGCGTGTAGATTCGCTGATGGGTCCGACGATCTGCGCTTCCTTGGGGAACACATTCGCTTCAAATTTCAACGCTACAAGTTCCAACCCTTCTTCCGCATCTCCGAAGTGGGCAACGTTGAGCACACTCAGGACATTGAGTTGAGCCGCAAGGTCCTCGAGGATATGGTAGACAGTCGATCATTCAACCTGGGCGCAATCGTCATACCCGTGACCTCGGATCCAGCATTATTATCTATTGACCTTCACCTCATCGACGACCGCAAGCAACCAAAATTCAGCACCAGCTTCCCCATCAGCGGCTTCCCACGCAATCTCACCGAAGGCGAAGCCGTGAAACAAACCAGTAAGCCCACACTCATTTACCCCTTCCCTTCCCCAGACCCCAAAAAAAATCAATCTTCAAATCTAACTAAAGAATCTTTCCACTGCTTTAGCATCTCCACCCATGCTCGACACCGTACCCTACAAAACCTCAGATAAACGCCGCTCCCTTCGCGAAAGCAGATCGAATATCCACAGCAGACTCGAGATCGAGCATCGCCCTATAAGCGACGGAAATATCGATTACAGGGCCTATGGGCACAGCGATACCACTCAGCAACCCCCAAAGCTAACGCCATCTCTTGACCTGCAGCACCACGTTGAATTGCACGATCCTGATGAAGCAATAGGAATGTCAGATGTGGAGATGGCGCCGAGTCACGAAGAAGGCAGGTCCAGTAGCGAAAAGGCAATGTCAAAGTCGAGGCGACACTTTGTTGATGCATTTCGTGATGCGAGTTCGAGTTCGGATACTTTAATGTAGATTTATTACAGTGTATACAGATTTGATTTCTTGTCTTTTTTTTTCAAAGAAGAGTATAATAATTACAATGAATAGAATGTAGCATATGGCTTTCGTTCGTGTTTGAACTGCTCTTTTGTGGCAGGAAATAATGTACAAGGCGTGAACAAAGCCTCTTCTTTGAGAGGAGGAGGAGGAGCAACCATCCCATTGCCAGTTTCATGTCTCTTGTAACGTCCAAAGACACATAGCTCCCCCCCCCTTCTCTTTACTGTAAACCAGCATCGTAGCAACATGTGACTTGGAAATATCGTGGTCATAATACCATGGGCGTGATAAATGCACATATCGTAACGATTTGCGTCATCAGGGTCAGGGAAGCCCACACAAAACCCCCACCCATACACGAAGATGTGAGGTGGGGATTAAGCATCACAGCCCAGCTCTCCTCTTCCTCTCTCGGTCGCCAGCAAATCCATTCCCCAACCCACTTTACAGCATAAGCAGCCGAGTAAACATATAACGGGGG